TGGTTCAAATCCCAACCCGGGGACCTTTGTGGGTAGAGTTTGCATGTTCTCTCCGGGCACTCCGACTTCCTCCCACAGACCAAAAACATTAATGTTAGGTTAACTGGTACAGCGGGTACAGATTATGGACGGATGGATACATTATACTTAGATGTAGAATTAAATCGTTTTTATTAGTACTATTCACATATTGAGAAGTTTATTGTTTTTATTCTGCTCAATATTTTTGTGTAGGTTTTAATTAATTCTGTACTGTTTTCTATTCAAATCTATTTATATTAAATGAATAACTATTAAGAGTTCCATTTAATTAATATTTACTCAATTCCAAACATTGTAAAACTTAATAAATGATGTTTGTAATCTGTTGCCTCATTTTTATTGAGTATATATGGGGTATTTATTTTTACAGTGACAGCCTACTGGAGTAAACTTTTTTGATTCTGACATCTTTCCAATAATATGTTTAGTTTTACTTTTGAACAGCTTCCAATGACCACTTTTAATGCACAAAACCTTCAGTTCCAACTTACTGACTGCTTCAGGGAGTWTTATAACAGATGTCAATGAAAAGATGAGAGAAAAGTTACCGAACAGGTTTGTGATCATGCCCACAGACTGGGACCAGTTTCAGTCCAACCCAGATTCAATGTGCTGATGTTCTGCAGCCTGGTTTAGAAGCAGGATTACTGATGTTCCTGGGGGGCAGCTCATTCATCCATTCATCCATTCATGTTAGAAACTTGGTGCCGGAGCTCAGCGTGAATGTGAGCCGCTGTTCCTTTAATAAAGTCGCGCTTATCTGCTGGAACAAATGTCTCGCTGCCATCATCAGGTCCGGGCCGGGCGAGGAGGAGGAGTTCTTAATGTTCAGTTTGTTCTGTGGATCGATGTCTGCTGGCATCGTCTCTCCCGCCCTCCTCTCTCCTCCTCTCTCCTCCTCTCTCCTCCTCTCCTCTCCGCCTCACAACGACCGCGCGTAACGCCGCGCCACATCCCCAAAGCGCCCGCTCCTGACGCGCAATCCCGCCACAGAAACGCTGCCCTGGGCTCTGACTGACAGCCGTCCATCATCACAGGAGCCTCCGAGGGACAAAAGCGGATGGTGAGAAGAGACGAATCGCTCCCGAGAGAAAGAAGAAGAGGAGGAGGAGGAGGAGGAGGAGGAAGGTGAACGGACGAGCCACGGTCTCTGACGGCTCCTCGCCTTTTTCTTCCGCTTGGATTTTTCTCCTCTTTTCTGTTCTGTAGAGAGAAAAGAGCCCAGAGAAAGACTCGCACTGTTTCTGTGTCTGCATGGACTATCGTAGACCGCATTCAGGCTCCACCTGGGCTCTGTGGTGAACTGCGACTCCCACAAACAGAGACAAACAACAACAAAAACAACAACAACAACAAAATGCCTCGGAGGAAACAGCAGGCTCCCAAGCGGGCTGCGGGTAAGACTCCAAACAACCTGTTCAGCTGATCCTCCTGTCTCTGTGTGAGATCCTGTCTCAGATCTGGGACAAGCTGGTCCGTCAAACTTTCATCCTGCTGGATCCAGAGGATCCGGTCTGTGGACCTGCTGGATCCAGAGGATCCGGTCTGTGGACCTGCTGGATCCAGAGGATCCGGTCTGTGGACC